TGGTGGAAATCAGGAGCTAGATTCGATTCTATAGAATGGGCTCGACGATGCAGTTGGTTCACCCGAGGTAGTATGACTTTCCGCGAAGCATATGAACGAACTGGCCGAATTCTCAATGTCTCATGTGTTCCTGCTGATCCTCATAGTCCTACTATTTTGACAAACTATCTCACGAGCCCTGACTGTGTCATTTGGTCTGCGGTTCTAGCATCAGCAGCTGTTCCAGGCATTTTGAACCCTGTGGTTCTTATGATGAAACAACGCGATGGCACTCTTGCACCTTATTCCTTTGGTCACAAATGGAAAGACGGAAGTTTACGAACTGATATTCCGCTCAAAGCACTAAACCTACATTTTAATGTAAACTTCAGCATTGTTTCCCAAGTCAATCCTCACATCAATCTCTTTTTCTTTTCCTCGCGAGGTTCTGTCGGACAACCAGTCACTCATCGACGTGGTAGAGGTTGGAGAGGTGGATTCCTTGGGAGTGCTACGGAACAATATCTCAAACTTGATCTCAAAAAATGGCTGAAAGTAGTCCGTCACCTCGAGTTGTTACCTCGTCCTCTGGGCCAGGATTGGAGTGAAATATGGCTTCAGCAATTCTCGGGAACCATTACTATCTGGCCAAGATCCGTCATCTCAGACTTTTGGCGCATTTTAAGTGATCCAAACCCAAAGCAACTGGGGAGAATGCTTCATGTTGGCCAACAAAGTGCATTCCCAAAACTAATGTTCATTGCCAATCGACTTAAAGTCGAGAGAACTATCGAGTCAGGAAGAAGAGCAACTCGACAAGGTGTGAGGAGAGGTAGCATCGAGAGCATCTTAAGCGAAGACGATATTAAAGGTTTACTTCTAGGTAGTGGTACAGGTAGCGATGCTGAAGGAGAGACCGCCACAGAATATGAGTTGACAGATGGTGCGGTGACATCCGAAGATGAATCTGACGGACTAAACTTGAAGATAAGTGAGAAGGAAGCTTTGATCAGTGGGGAAAAGGAAGAGTAATATTGTGATTTTTGGGAGCGAAATTATACCACTCATAGATTGACACTCGATTTTAAATGGAAACATTAGATAGGTAATAGGCATAGTTAGGATAATAAGGTTAGATATTTAAATCAATATATTCGTCAGAAATGTATGCCAGTCTCAGCTAATGTTAGTCTTTACTCTACAAACGACGCACGTATCTCTGCCTCTTCAAAGATTATGTATAGACGGTGAAATCATTCAAGTCTATCTAGATCAGTAACTGAAATATCAACAAACTGTGCATGGCCTTGCATGTCATTCTTATCATCCTCACTCAATTCTTTTCTTCAATCTCTACCTAACATTACATAAACGAAGTCTTACCATCCTTATTTCCAGCAGAGAATGTCCTAATTGGTATCCAATAAACGAGTTAAATAGTCCATGAAGATAGGAGCGAAAATACAGTACCTTCTGGCATCACTACTCAAGCGGAATAATACATGCTGACTACCTACACAATACTAATGTCCCTCATTCACTTCACATGGTACCAAGCATAGCTTTTCAATGGCTGAGTGCATACATAGATATATAGTACACTTTCATTAGTTTGATATCAGTTCAGATAAACTGGAACTCCCACTGCTTTTAGTCACTTGCCCTCTTCGTTTCTCACTCGCTATGAATCTTCTTAATAAAGCTGCAAATATCTCTGCATCGATCGCTCTTGCTACCCAGCTTGTCTATACATCCCGGATGTTGTTAAACTGTAGAATTCAGAATCTAATAGCGATGTTTTAGATGAAATGTTAGAATTGCAATTAGAGATGTGACTTTCAAGGATATTACTTCGCTTCATGGAGAGTGCACGAGATGTTGAATATAATCGGAGTACTCCAATTTGCGCCAACGAAAGAGAATGCAGTAGTATTTGTACGCATCATCTTGAGAAATTGGACGTCATGACGGCTCTTATGGATTGGGCATTTGAGACTCGTTCTGAAAGAGGAAAATGGAGCTGTTGGATAGCCAGTTGGAGGAGGAAGCAAATAGGCAGGTATCGGAAGGAGCTAGGGAGTGAGACACACGGTAGCTTTGTGTCGAATTTGGGTTCATGACTTGGTTGGACTTACCTTTGGATGTGTGGATATGTTGCTATGAAATTCTGACTTGGATACAGACCACCACAAGATGAGATTCACTCTATCTTAGCTCAATCGAGAATTATGAGTTAGAATTCATATGCTGATGTTTACCAGGGGCTCGCTCCAAAGTATTTGAACTATTTGAGGAGCTACATTACGGATGCTTGTAGGAGAGCTCCGCCAGCCTAAGAGAAGCTACTGTGTCTGAAGGGTGGTCGCGGTGGCACACTACTTTGGGTCGGAGACAGGAAAGCGGGACTGTTGTATATGAATGGATTTGATGACTGCCTGTGGAGCTGGAATTCATGTGGCTTGTCTTGTGATAGGAGGACTGAGAGGAATGCACGAAATGGATATTGTCAATATCTCATAACGCCTGGACGATAGATACGTTTAGTAATTCATGAACTAAGATGGGATGTTCTTGTGGGCATATCCACCGTATCATGATCCCGTTGTTCGACAGTTGGGGAATACAACAGGCTGAGAAACTTTGTCGAAAGATTGAATTGAAATGTGATTCTTGAGCACTTTTTTGCCATTACATAGTCTTTGGTGTGTGATTTCCCCGAGATCAAATCCTTCGGCTTGGGGTATCCAACAACAGATTAAGAGTTCAAAAACGGACGAGAGTGAATAGATTTATGACAACGACATTCCTAGAGACGGGATGAATATAGTGGCAATTGGGTTCAGTTCTCAGATATTGAACGGGCAAGAATTTGCGCATGGAGCTACCTAAACCATTGGCACGTAATCAAATGACTTTGGGTATTGGAAACCTGGTCATAAGGTTGCTGGATCTACCATTCAAGATAGACAGCAAGCCCTGGGGAATGGATATCACCGACAACTTGAGAAGAAGCACCAAACATCTGAAAAGTCCTAAAGTGCCGAGGACAGTTCAGTTCAGTGGATCTTCGCCATCAGAGTGTCACTGTTCACTAGTCACTTGTCACGGAGCCACTGCCAAAGCCTCTTTCTTCCCTTCATACTATGATAGGCATAGCAATGCCAACAAACAGACTAAACGTGCAGGGGTTAGCGACATGCAACAAATTCCATTTATGATTAAGGTTCATCATTCAGCTGTGCGCAGAAGGAATATTAACGCGAGTTGACATCAACTAGTACTAGCTAAGATAAACCAAGAGTAACTCAAAATCTGCAAGGGTTAGCGACGTGCAACAGATATCATTTAGGGTTTTAGTTGAGGGTTGGTCGCGTAAGCTTGAGTTTAAGTTGAAGAGACCAACCACCGCCAAAATGAGACTAACAATGACTTAGAAGACTACAGGGGTGTTGCGATGTGCAACAAACAGCATTTAGTCAAAGCTAAAATAAGACTAAGAACCAACCCCTACTAGAATGAGAATAACAATGACTACAAGTGACCACAAGTTTGCAAGGGTCGTCGAGGGTATATGCCACATGACATGTCAAAGCCCTAAACTTTAACATCACATCACGATGACGATGATATCATGTACCAGCACTACCCCAAGAAAAACACGTGTACATGAATGAATTCACTCTACATCTAGCCCCTTGACTCTGATGAATCAGAAAGAGTTCATGCCGACTCAAACGATTGTCAATCACAGGTAAGCAATTTGGGTTTGCTAGGCTAGATGCAGGTGAAGACAATGTAGTTACTCTCCAACATATTAATGCGAGTTCCACCTCTTCTATATTCGATAGTAGGTCAATATATCTTACTTCGATCCCCAAGACAGTTCACCTCAGAATAGGCCCGGGAATATATGCGTGGGTCATAATGATTCCAGATTGATTGAAGATCTCAGATTCGTGCGGCCGTGTTCGGCAATTCAATCAGATTGATGGCACACTAATGAGATAGAGCTGATAGCTCTGCTCCTGCCTCCATTTCATAGCATAGCCAGGTGATCTGAAAGTTACAATTTACAGTAGATGGGTGAGCCCTTTGAGGTACTCTGGTTTGGATAGTATCAAGCGGCAATCCTCTTCAAACTTTCAAAGATTCATCATTAGACGAAGGGGAAAATTGAATAGGTTGGAATTTTTGTTACCAGTATACTTATAGCTGAAATCTGACCAGTAGCACAGGACGTTTTCTCTCCGCAGCCGTACCATTCGAGTGGAGAATGTGCTATTGCTTCAATCCTAGGTAAAATAATAGCACGCAGAGTACAACCATGAGAATCATGTAGAATAGTTTGTGCTTAAAGAATTTCTAAATCTGACAAACGTCATATACGTGTGAAAAGCTCTCTTTTCATGACACTTCCTTGTGTATATAGAAAGGGAGGTACTTCTTGGTGTATCATGCCAGAAGGAAACCTTTCAGGATCATGTTCAAACATTGTATCTGATGGACCATTGTGCAAGAACCTTGAGTGGTTACTTTTCACTCGAACAATGAAGACATTGAGCTTGAAAATGTAATATAGGGAAGTAAAACTTTGATACTGTAGAACTTTGAAGATTCATTGTATTGAATTCAGGGACATAATATTCTTAACAAGACCAAATAATAAATCGCGCGCTTACCTAAGCACTTCAACACGCTATCGCGTTACGTCGCGTCCAAAACTAGGTTAGTGGAAGCCCCCGCCAAAATCTCGAATACAGCATATCGTACACAAATTCGAGTTTCGCATCACAATATTTCTGTGTTTCTGCCCAAGTAATACTTTAATCACTCATTGCGCATGTATTTTCGAGAGCGAAATCCTATATTCTAGCTTTTCGAGGCAATTAAAATACAGAAGTCGAGGCGATAAGGTCTGTTAGCGCATAAGCCCTCCAATTATCACAGACAAGACGCACGGAACGACACGACACGAATCGAACGAATAACAACATTGAAATACTCGCTGTCATCGAGAAATAATGGCGAGGCTAAATAATACGCTTATTGTCTACAAACGTAAACCCTACAAGCCGGTTCCGAGTTTGGTTGCTGCACACCGACAAAATACGCTCGAGTCAAGGAAAGGGAAAGGTATGGAGAATGGTGGAGTTGCAAACAAGGGCAAACAAGCAACTACACCGGGAGAGAGTTCTGTTCAAAAGCCCTCTGGAACGGTCAATCAACTGAACAATATGGTTGGTTCGAGGGCACCCGTTGCGCAAATGATTGCGAGCACAGCAGACATAGAGGAAACCAATAAGAGTTCGACAGTGCAGGTAATGACTGAACCCAAAGCTCATGTAGAGGAAAGAGCGGATGGCGAGGGAGATGGCCAGAAGGACAAAGGAGATAACGAAGCTGGAGTTCAGAACAAGCCTCAGCAAGAAGTGGCACTTCCGAATTCGTTGCAGTCTCGAGGACCATCAACGCCGGCTAAGAAAGCATTTGCGAAGAAGACTGCCGAGTTACAAAATTCACGACTCCGCCAAGAGAAAAGAACGCCGCTCAGTAGGTTGAAAAAGGCACAACAACCAACTCCGGTCAATAAAGCAGGATTGACAGAGGATGTAACAACAGAAAAAGATACTCCTCGCGCCGGAGGAAGTCGAAGAAAGTTGGCTGATGCAATGCTAACATCCGGTAAAGAAGCTGAAGTTGTAGCTTCAGCAAAGAAGCCAAAGCCTAGCGGCAATCCAAGTGGCAATCTAAAAGCTATGGCCGAGGTACTCGCTCCTGTCGAACAAGCCATGGAACTCACTCCTGTAGTCGAACAAACCAAGGAACCAAGTCCTGTAGCCGAACAAACCAAGGAACCCAGTCCTGTAGCCGAACAACCCAAGGAACCCAGTCCTGTAGCCGAACAACCCAAGGAACCCAGTCCTGTAGCCGAACAAACCAAGGAACCCAGTCCTGTAGCCGAACAACCCAAGGAACCCAGTCCTGTAGCCGAACAAACCAAGGAACCCAGTCCTGTAGCCGAACAACCCAAGGAACCTACTCCTGCAGTCGAAGAAGCCAAGGGACTCACTTCTATAGTCGAGCAGGCCGAAGATGAGAATGGTTCAGAGGAAGAAAATGTGACCGAGACTATAGCCAAAAACTCTTATCAGCCGGATGTAGTGCACCAATCTCGGTTGGATGGCGAGAATAAAAAGCAATGGCTTATAGAGTGGAAAGGATATCCAAAACAAAAAGATTGGACTTGGGAGTCAGTTGAGATGTTGCGGGAGGATTGCCCAGAATGGGTCGAGGAAAAGGAGAATGGTTCGTTGAATGGAGACGCTGATGTTCACGAGGTCGAGGCAATTCTGGATAAGCGGAAGGTTAGGGGCAAGGTTCAATATCGTGTGAAGTGGGAGGGTTGGGAAGCCAATTATAATACATGGGAACCTGCGGAAATGCTAGAATGTGATGTTCCGTACATGGTGGAGGATTTTGAAAAGGAGCTAAAGAAGACCGAGAAGAAACGAAGTGCAGGCAAAGCAGATATGGATGGAGAGCTACCTGTGGCAAGGAAAAGAGGCCGACCTAGAAAGTGAGGGACACTTGACTTTGTATTCAGATTTTATGAAAGATCTCTCAGCGTGTGAATTGATTGGTTAATGGATGGGTCATTTTCAGTTGGAGTTTGTAGGACAAGGATCACTCTGAGTGGAGTTCACAGAGCGGATGAGATGTAAAATACCCAAGCGAAATTTTTCGGGTTTGCGTTTGTTTTGTCTAGGTATCTTATGTTTCATTGTTGGTTATAATGCATACAGATGTCTATGAAGCCTCTCACTTATATTCCATTGATTAAAAATATAAATTGTTCCTATTTACAATTCTCTTCATACATATTACCACCAATGTTGAAAAAGCTTTACAAATGAGGATTGCCTCATAGTTGGCTCCTTTAGCGAGAACTAATGATTTCTCAAGGGGTCGATGACGCAAATTAGTATTAGTCGCAATATGCTCTGAAGCCTAAATTTCTTTCTCCATAGTCCTCACTGCTTTCGTTTCTCCATTATTGCCTACCTACTCACACGTCACCAAGAAATCGCTCAATATGAACAGCCTTGACCCATGCAACTGATTTATAGCCTCTTATTCAAACGACAACCTCCACAACTATACTCTGACGAAATATCTAACGCAATTTGTCGATTCTGTATACTTACGCGCCGTATACAAGCCTATCCGGGGATGCGAAGACTCAACACCTGTACGCAATGCATTCTACGAACCTCCAGCTCTCTCTTGAGAGTCTGCAGAGCTAAGATTAAGTCGCAAATAGTATTGAAAGAATTAAAAGAAGAGAGGTTTAGAGATATAGCGAAAGATTATATTACGATTTTATGACAGTAATATTTACAAAAAGTTGAATACCAGCTTTAGATGTGGATACGAAGGTTATTATTATTATTATTATTATTATTAGTAATTTTCAACCGGGCCGTATAGGCGAGCCTCCCAGGGGGCATTACGGTTGGGCTAACTGCGGGATAATCTCTAATTTACATGATCCCCCTCTCCTAAAAATGAGGTCTCAATACCCTCAGTAGCCTCCCAAGCGATAGCTAGCGCGCTTGCGCTTTTGTCTCCGATCCTCTGAGCGCCTCCGTGCGCGCTTTCCGATCTTTTATATAATGTTTTGATTGAGAGCTGCTTTATCCTGTAAGGGTAGCTTTTGTATGTATTCTAGTGCAGCGCAGAGTATTGCATATATCGATTTTGTTCTTTATAGCCTTGCTATATCGATCGCCTCCTATTCTGTATTTGTGTTCACCCGGATCGGTCAATCCATTTCCATTTCCTCTTCCTATTCTTCTGGTAGCGTTCTAGGGCGATACGAAGGTTATGGAAGCTCTGGTTAAATTTAATATCTATTATCGATTATTATTTCAAATACAGAAATATGATATGTAGTAGGTTTCTTTTTTTAAAAGAATCTTTTTGATATAGAGCTTGCCGTCGCTCTATTCGTATTATAATCCTTTTTATATCCTTTGGCTTTCAGTTATTCGAATATTACAACAATACAATATAGAGAATGCTATTGCTTTCAAATTAATACCATACTCTGGGCATCGATATAATACAATGTTTTTCTTTTAATTTTCGAATTTTCGAATTTTCCGAATTGATTTGTGTGTGGGCAATAGAGCTTAGGATTCAGCCCTGTCCTACTATTTTCAACAGTTTCGATTATATACATTTAATAAAAGCTAAAGGATATCAAGCTTATGAAGATATACAAGGAACTAGTTTAAAAGAAATAAAGATAGAGAAGAATGGTGCCTTTTTCTACTACCTTATTAGTAAGAGGACTTTTTGCTATATTGGAGGCAACTCGGGAGGGGATAACTCTTGTCTTTTATAGAAAAGGAGGGATAGCAAATTGGATTTAGGATTTTAAAAAGAGAAATTGGATATTGGGATGCTTTAATTGGATTAGGGGTAGGGGAAGAGTGAGAAAGGAAATGTTTCAAAGGATGAAGACTATTTAATCTCTATTTGTATTTCGAATAGAGATCGGGTATAGCACCCCAGTATTCGTTTTTATTCCCCCAAATTGAATATATCTACTATAGATATCCACTAGTAATTGTTAGGTTCTTAAAGCCTAGCCATCCTAAATAGTCTTGGACTGAGAAAAGGACGTTAATTAAATCAATCAATCAATCAATCAATCAATCAACAAGCCTATCCGGTGATGGTGCATGCGTATCTTGAGAGAACTGCGGCCCTAGTACCACACAAGATCGATTGAGGACTCAATTGTGTATATCCAATGTGGATAGACATATTGTCGTTAGTTTAGTACGTCCTACAAATGTTTCAAGGCAGTAACGCGACTTAGCTCTTAGTCCTGGATGTAAAATAACAACAATCACAATATGCAGGTGGACATCTAATGCCTTAGGCACCCAGCCACTACACACAAGGTATCGGCTTCGCTACCGAGGTAACCTCCGGTTCTTTCGACCATTTAATCGTCCTTTATGATTGACTGATGGAGTAATATTAATTTTACACCCTCATATTTAATATACTATTGGGTACTTAGACATCACTCATCTCATTACTACATACTACAGTAACATTATTATGTCACAGAAAGTTAGAATTAAGGATCCCAATCTACAAGTCCAAAGTTGGACGCGATGCAAGCTTCCAGTCGAAATGCCCTTACCGGCAAGAGTGTCGAAGAATTATATTGAAGACCTTCCAGAAATCTGGCATGAATCATTGACTGGTCTCATGTACGCTCCAGGTTTTCTGAGGTCCAGATGTGCTCGAAACGTTAAGAATGCGGAAGAAGTGCTTTTTGCTATCGGTTAGTTGTAAATTTCTCGACCTTCTAGGAGCTTAATCTGATATCAGTGCAGAATGGGAGGATGACGCCTCGTTCAAAGCGTTTATGAAATCCCCAGCCTATCCGCTATATTTACGAGGATTTGGAATTCGTGACTCACAGACTCCCGACGCTATGGTTTCCCTCTTTCCCTCCTTCGATGTGTGTACGTTTAGCCCTGGGGGGCGGGTAACGGTATTTATTCATAGCTTTAAGTATCCAGCTACTGAACAAAATCGTCACGATGTAAGGGATGCGCAAGGACTTCTTATTAGCAGAAGGTTTGGCACGTTAGGGGTTCCATGTCAGCATGTGTGGATTCGACAGCCGCAGATGGGAGATGATAGACAATTGGTGGAAAAAGGAGTGGTGGTACAGGCTTGGCCTAATACAGAGCCACCAGTTATTTTCGAAGCTGTGGATCAAGATGAAAATGCGAGAGATAACTTGAGAAAGCATGTTAGGAGGATCAATCCTATAAATATGGAGGAGATGACATGGCATGTAGCAAAAGTTGAAAACGAGGACGAGGACGAGGATCAGAATGAGGATGAGGATGGGAAGGATAAGAATGTGAATATGATGGATTAAGCACTCGATAAAGTTTATAAGGTAAGACCAGAAAGACCTTGATGATGCATTCATGTTTGAACTTTACAGATTAAGTTCGAGGTGTCAACATGGCAGTGCTTTCTATGATTTGTTCGCTCATTAATCAATTGAGTCCTGCGTTATGATAGATCCGAAACTGCTAATATATTATATTCTGGTATTAGCAAACCGACTAATGGCCGGTGCATTGATTACAAGAAAACAAAGGTCTACTTGCAAATCACTTATCCGGCTCATGATGCTTAGATTTTCTATACGGATACTTTTGATCGTGATAAAGATGGATCAGATAAATGTAATAAAATATGCCCATTGACGATTCAGACATCAAAGAAACTCTCATCGCAATATCGACCAGCATTCTTCCACCGATTGTGACATTAACCGGAACCAGTGCCGGGACGGTGTACGATCGTACAATTCACCCACCACCATGGCCATACACTAATCCAACACCGACCACAAGATCAAGTGGTGGTCCTCCACCCTTGCTCTCTTTCACCTCATCTGCAGCAAGCTCAACATGCACGAAGGATTGTGGTTCTCCCTGCAGAGGACTATTCTGCAACATGCCTTGCCTTTTCGACTGCGTGAAACTTCTAGATCCTGACTGGTGGGACATGAAAGACCCCCATAACCCCCGGGGGCCTGAAAGAACACTATACAAGCCTGAAGATACCGAATGCACCACCACTAGTGCAAGCAGCTGTTGGACCGAATGTTTAGCTTCTAGCACAACGAGCACTTGTATATCTTCTTGCTCTATCAGCTATGGTTGCTCTGTGACTGCAACCTCAACTCTGGGAACGTATTCACTTGCCCGATTCGGATATTGGACTGTGGATTCCTTTGACCGGGCTTCGGATTTAGATGCTGCATACGCTAGCTCTGTTTATGCAGATGTAATCTCAGAGTTGGCGGATTGGTTTCCTGAAACCGTAACCGTTACACCTGTATCAACCACGACAATACCATATGTAACCGCGCGAGAGTGAGTAATTTGCCATACGTAGTCACGTAGTCTTGGGGTAGCCTGCACACTTTATGCTAGACCCTCTCGATCTCTACGAATGAAGTGCTGAAAAGGTGCTTTGGAAAAATGTAGACGATCAAAATGGGATCAGCTTGCCTGTTTATCATGTACCGACTGAGTATTCAGGGCAGATATCATCTTTGGAATGAAGTTTACAATATCCTCCCCTCTACAAGGCAAAAAAACACACAGGAAAAACATAATCAGGATAGCTCATTTATATAATCAATTGAGCCCTTATTTAACTAGCTCTTTACAATAACTATATTGTATATTGTAGACAGAATGAAAAAAAAAGAAAACATAGAAAACAGAAGGATTAATTTTAATGTCTTATATTCAACTCAACTGTCGACTCTTACATCTCGAACTAAGTACTTCCCAAATGTATTCTCTATCACCTCCTAGTACACAAGAATTACATCCCCACGTTCACACTCATCATACAGAGACCGATATCATATCCGCCACCATCATCAGTACCAATACCAAATACTAATAAGTATTTCCCACCTCCCGCGCGAATGCCGCCATCCATCCAAATGTATGCAGCCAGCCGGAATCCACAATCCCCATACCAATACAGCCAAAGTCCTCCAGTCCAGAAAAAGACAAAAAACGCAAGCACACAGCCAAAAATAAACACCACAGAATACAAATCTCCACAAGAAATCAAAAACAGAAACAAACAAATCTCTCAATCCCATACATACAACCCAAAACCCTGTCCATCTATAAACCTTTTCCCTCAAAAGTTGAAATCCACCAGCACCCGCAGTGCATACGCATATTCAAACAAGAAAACACGAAAAAATAACAAGGAAAAAAGTGTGAAGGCAGAGAGGTAGATAGCAAGCTATGTGACCAAACCACCGAGAACGAACAAATCCATCATATCATAACACATAGCCGCTCATGAACAAGAAATAGAAAGATGCAATCCGGCTTGCAATCTTTTATCCAAGTTCTCCGGGGAAAGAGCCGCAAAAGAAACACCATCATAACGCGTGGGATTGGATACAAATAATCCAATCCACTAAACTACCAATAATGCAAGCAGAGGAAATGCAAACGCAAACGATTGTACGAATAGTGATACAGAAATCCACCCTCTTACTTTTCCGTCTCTGAAATTGAAGTAAACAGTCGAAACTCTTGTTTCTTTTTGCTTTTGTTTTTGATGAAGAGAACATAGGAAATCGAGTCGTGACATCATAGATCGTCATAGTGGGGAGCTCTCAGAAAGAGCTGAATATTTTTGGAAAGGAAAAAAATGAGTGTCCAAGTGTTGGTGGTGGTAATAGGTAAGTAATTTGGTACAAAAATGTACAATTACACAATAGTGTGTATGGTATATCAATCGACATTATACTTTAAAGAGCACAATTTATTTTGGTAAGGTTGTTGGAGGAGCGGGGAATAGATTATAACTTCCTCTGCGCTTACCAGCCGTAGTGGCATTGGTCAATGTGCTGGATCTTGATCTTGATCGTTCATGAATGGTCTTTTCAGTAACGATCGGTGCAGAAATCTTTCTTCCATGATTGGACATGAAGGACTCGACTGAGGCGGGAGCGTATAATTCTCGAGAAAGAGCAGATCTTAGACGTGGTCTTGGAGGCGAATCGGTAAAGCTCTCAGCCACAGGACTTAAAATGCTAGATGCTGCATCGGGAACAGCTGTGGAAATTGGAGGGGGAGGTTGAGCGAAAAACTGAGCGTTTTTGGACGACCTACGCGCTTGATTGGCATGACTTTGCATTCCAGTAATTTCAGAAGGCTGCTCATTGTCGTCAAGTTTTAAACCGGAAACCTTGGTAATAAGCTCTGGGTCAGATGTTGTGGTGGCAAGTGCTCCTAGTGTTCTACTGTCACGCTTGGGACGAAGAGATGGAACAAGATCGGGCAAGGAAGAAGCGGATCCGATACTTCTGTGAGCTTTGCTCATGCTTCCTGCTTGGAAAATAAGTAGAGCTGAGTCTTGACTGGATCGATTGTAGCGGCTACTAACAGTGCTGCTTCTGAGGCTATTATGTGAATAAGTCGAAGAACGATAAGAATTGGTACTAGAAAGAGCTTCATCTATTGGCGAAGCGGGTTGTTCATAAGTATCCATGGGAAATATTGAAGCTGATGGGACCTCGTCGTTGTGATATGTGTCGAACAAAGCATCTTGTTCGCTTTGTAAAGGATATCCATCGGAAGGAATGAGGAGACTTGGAGAAAGATTGAAGCCGTCTGACTCTTTGAACGAAGATGCATGAGAATCAGGTCGTATTTGATTGGGGCGGAAGTAACTGGTTGGTGTAGGGAGGAATGATGAAGCGCTCGATAGATTGGATAACGGAGAGAGTGCGGGAAGATCATATGGGGCAGGGACGAGTAGTGATGGACGAAAGCGACCTGGCGAAACTTCTTGCTCGGCCTGTTCTATTTGAGTGGGTGAAGCAGGTTCTGCTGTGATGACAGGTTTGTTCTCTTCAAATGTTGCATCGAATTCGTAATCCCAATCTTCACCACCTTCATCCTCGTAACAAAAATCGATCGCGTCTTCCCAGGAATCAGTAGCCAAGTTAAGCTTAACCGAGCTGTATCTTTTTGAAAATCGTGAGGTATCAATCGACCCAAGTCTTCCTAGCACTGGTGGCATATCAGGCATATCAGGAGCTTGCTCAAGTGCCCTCATCCTCAAACCGGGAACAGATTTTGAAAGTCGTAATTCACCACCGTCGGTGCTTGACTCCCTTGATCGCGTCCTAGTATGTTCGTCCTCTTCGAGAACATCTGCAAGATCGACACCAAAACTTCCACTTAATGGCGCAGATAAAGGCCATGCTTCCTCGCCAGGTGTAGTGACTGCATGAGATAAATGCTTGACGGATACCTCGGATTCTCTTCTTTCCCATTTAGGGGGTGAAGGATGTGTTTGTGGAGTAAAATCGAACGCAGACTCTTGAAGGCTGACATTGGCACCAGCCAAAGCTTGACCGAACTCTAGGGCAGTTGAGTCTCCAACATGACTGAAGAAAGTTGACGCCGCTCTTGACGATGTTCGAGCAGGTAGGTTGACCGGGCAGCGAGGAGATTCGGGAGACCTCATTGGACGTGCAGGTACCGATCGTAGATTATCATGTGACATTGAGTAATTGATAGGTCTCCATGGCTGATTCTGTGGTGGTGATACGGACGCTCGAAATACGGGCCGTCTTTGCGGGGTCACAGGACACGATGGACTCTTTGGGCTTGTGGGACTTCTAGGCGCGTCAACATCCGGCGCATAATCTATTGCTACCGAGGAGAAATTCTCAAACATTAAATCCCTCGCTCTAATACCCTTAAGATTTCCATTGGTTGGAGCTTGAGATGCTCGGAGAGCTGAAAATTCCGACACCAATCTAGTAGGAGGAATTTCCCTGAGGTTTGGTAATTCATTCTGTTGAGTGTGTGTGATGTGCTGAAAGTTATATGGTCCAGAGATGGTATTCTTTCGAGCACGATAACTAGTAGGAGGCGGACTGTGACTAGATGCGTCGCTACGATCTCTATCGGAGGAACCACTTGCAAGAGATAATGAGGAGCCTCCCATTGAAGTATGATTACGTCTAAATTTCTTGCTGCTTCGGGAGAATATTGTTTTTCCGAATAGATTCAAACTATCGGGTCTATCTTTCGTCGCCATGCTACTGCCGTTTGATCTACCGGAGGACTTTCGTTGTAATTCGATTCTGCTGGAGGAATCAAGACTGGATTGACGGGAGCGGAAAGAGGAAGCTGATGTGATAGAAGGGGTAGTCGATTTGGCAGCAAACGCTGAGCCCCTCCTCATTTGCTCAGTGTATGCGCGAATACCTTGAGGTGAAGGTGGTCCATCAATGGCTGGGTCGAAGAATTCGACAGACGGGTACGTAAGGTGCTTAGAGGTTGGCGGGGTGTTGTCTTTTCTAGACATCTTCCTCTTAGATGATGGACGGTGGTTGTTAGGATATGGCGCTGAGCCCATACCTGCAGATCCTAGACCGAACATATTGGATTGAGAGTTGATTGATAGCTGTCAATGAACCTAATCGACGTTCTGTGGGGAGGATATATATCGAACAATGCGTTGACTACAAGGGAATCCCAACCCGATAAATTAAAAGAAATTGTGCTTATGGCTTCTGCTTCAGAAGACGCAATCATCGATATGGGGCTGATGAGCAGGCTATATCGAGGCACGTTGCAGCCACGATGACGCCTTTTTTGTTTCGGTGTTTGTCGATAAAAAAAAAAGTTGAGGACTTTCAAAAGTCAACAATGAGGGCGGCAGCGTCCAACATAAAAGTGATGGATTGAGGATATCGGAAGACGCTCGGCTGGGGAGATATGGATCAGCGTGTGCCACAAATAAAATAGGCCTGTCAAAACAAGGGTTCTCCCCTTCAGGGTGTTTGTCAAGAAATATGGAGCAGGAAGCGTTTCTTCTTTAGCGATATAATCCAACGTCAGGGGTACTATCCTCGGAACGTTGAATAGCGTTGTGAAGTCTGTGGAGACAATATAATACCACGAGGAAACTAGTGTACAATCCCCCATAGGACGTGGATACCATCACAATGCTCGCCTTGAGTCGCAGCGTTTGGTTCAACACTTAGCATGTGAGTTATGATGTATATCATATGTTGAGAGCACTGCGTCCCCAGCTTTTTTGTTCGCAGTTGCGATTGGATGAATGACAGTATAGAGGTAGCGTGAAGTATATTGAATCGAGAGTGTTTCTTTCGTATCGATCCCCTTGGTGATGCATAATACCAAGGAAGCCGATTTGTCTGTTTTCATGCAACAACGGACGTGTAAATTACCTTGAATAGTAATAGCGACCCGTAGTTGCAGGTAATAACGTGTGAATTGGCCAATGATAGAAAAGCTTTTGGAAAAGAATTAAATTGAAAATGGCCCAAAGGAGGAATTACCAGAATTAAGAGGAGCAAGCAAAGGATCCAAAAAAGATTGCTGGGAGCCTGGGAGTCTGGGAGCGAAGCTTTAAAGGACTGGACTGGGTCAGTAAGTAGGTAGAATGCTTTTGCTTACAATTGTCAGCATTGATTGAATATGGAGCTGTGCACTGTAGTGTTTTATTGTACAGTAGTTATGAGTAGCAACTGGCTGCAGCAATGTCGAACGATGCTGATAAAGATGCGACATTTGTGTTTGCTTGCATCAATATCTATCTTTACCATTTTTTGATTTATTGATTTGAATCCCTTATTTCAATTGATTCTCGACCAATCTAAGGATCCCATCCCAAGAGCTGGGTTAGGACCCCATCCTACGTCTCTCGCAGGGTATCGCTTCTGAACAGTGCCATCGCTGAAATCAGACGAGATGAACGAGGCATGAAGCATGAGGCATGACATGAGATGTGAGGTATGAGGCACGAGGGAATTGATTACACTCTGCTAGCTGGCAGCTGCAAAGAGTTAAGGATTTGTGGGTGGGATGAGATAGGATAGGATGATTGCTAGGGTTGGAAGTCAAGGTTGACAATATTCAAGGTTGTAAGGGTCGACGGGGCAGGAAGGCAGAAAGGCAAAATTGAAATTGTGAAATTGTGAAATGTGGAATGTGGAATGTGGACAGGTGAGATTGAATTATTTTAGCCTGGTTAGTCAGGTGTTAATTTAACCAGATGAGGTTAGCGGCTTTTATTAGTCACTTATTTTAGTAAAGCAAGGCAAGTACGAAGCACTCGAGTACCTTACCTATATGCTAATAAAGAATCCTTGATATAATAAACATACCAACCTAGGTACTAAATTAACAGGTGGTGGAGATAAATTGACAGAGAAAAAGAGTTCTGTCTGGTGAATCAATCAAATAGAAAGGGTACACAAGTTAAAATCAATTTTCAATCAATTAGATCTTTTAATTGGTCAATCGTGAATATCATTCAGGAAATTCAGTCAATAAATACCCAATCTTTGGAATATCTCAATAGTCAAGACCCAATCAAGACTCCATCCAGACTCCATCAAGACTTCATCAAGACTCCATCAAGACTCTCAATCTCACCAACATGTATGCCTTCTTGGGTTTCACGACGGTCTGGTCGATGATTCAGTCGCTCTCGCTCTCGCTTTACTGGCCACCCCCCCCTGCTCTTTCCTTTAATAACTTTGGTTCCAGGCTCCATGTCTTCCCAATAATCAATTCCCACCCTGCACATTGCAAATGATCCTAATCCTGTCCTCTTTTCACAACAGGAAGCTCCTAGCGGCACATCAACAATCAAACTTTACTTGCATACCATATACATGAATGGGAGGAGATCATCTCATTTCATTAAGGATATCACCGAAGGATGTCCAGATGGGAAAGTCTATTGCGAATTCTATAAGAAATCTCTTGGAATATCAAAATTTACATGTCTGCATCGACGATGTAAAGAGAGTATCGTATTGTGCAATCAATTCAACGCATTTTGTTGGTTTTATTGTCATTATCATCATCATCATCATCATCATCATCATCATCATCATCATCATCATCATCATCATAATCATCGGCATCATCTCCCTGGATAACCAGAAACGAGAAGCCAGAACCATCCATAGACTAGAATGGATATCATACGGCACGGAAGACACTTCCGTAGCTTGACGCGTAAGATAAAACGCTTGCTTCCGTCTCCTAACTTGCAAAATGTCTTGCACAAAATTCCACGATTCGTGCAACTTCGCAAGTGCCCGTTCAGCAATCATCCTCCCGTTGGGCGGCCAAGATATAGCGGCTGAAGTCGTGGGTCAACGGCAGATAGGTGTGGGCACCAACTGGAGACAATATTATTGATCCCTTTGAAACCAATACCTGTATCATCGTATCCAAGGTCTTTCGTACGCTTCAACTTTCCTCGAGAAGTAGTTCGTGGAGCGCAAATTCTTTACGAGTACCTGCATACAGAATAAAGCTTACCTTTTCAGCTAACCCTTCCAGCTCACCATCAAGGCTTCAATATTTCCACGTTCAGCTCTTTGCATAAGGTACAACGAACGCAGTGATCATCCATACAGATACTACTGTACCCAGTTGTATGTGGGAATTAAAAGGTTACATGCTATTCATTCTTCCGAGATCCAACCGATTTCCTGGAAGCCTCTTTATGAGTGGTCCACAAGAAGCGATTCCGAAAAATGTATATGCTTTCTCCAGCGGTGTGCCTTCGTACATTTCATTACTCAAAAGATGTAGCATCATTCACAATAATTGTCTCTGCATGACAGGCATAATAGACACCATGAAATTCATATAATTCCCAGTCATTCCCAGGAGAGCGGCTCATCCAATTTTAAGCGCGAGCCTTTCAGATCAATGATAGCTCAATCATAATATAAATGCTTGGAAATGTGGAGATTGGGAGATTCTTTGGCAATTGATTTGTTGCGAGGTGGTTGCAAAATGATGTTGCGAAAGGGTTCCTGCAGAAGAGATATTTTTCCTACAGAAGAGATATGTTTCCTACCGCCTTCGAGAATGATTCTTGGGATTTTGGTACACCACGAGCTCCAGGGAAGTGTTTCATCATTCCAATATTGTTTATTTGTTTATAGGTCTGATTGCATATCTTGTGTACCAAAGACTCTGTCCGCACAACCTAACCCCTTGGAATTGATCTCCCTTGAAAAGCCTCCGAATGGATCAGACTGTTCATGGAGGGCCATGGAGACCATGAGAATATAGCGTGCTCCGTGGAGTCGTCAACCGGACCACTGTCTTTGGCTATTCTGCACGCTCCTGGTCAATTTATCCTGTTCATCCGAGGCCAGAAAGAGTCTCGACAAAGTAAGAAATCGATAGCAACGCTGAAATCCTGCCGAAATGCCTTAGACCCTACTCGTCTAAAGTAAAGTTATTACACTTTGGTGCAATAACGTTCCCCGAGAGATTGTCACCAAAGCTTGGTAAGAAATTGATTGCCGCACAAATTGAAAAGATCGACTGGTTTGTTTGAATGGAACTTGTGAATTTAAAGTTCTTATTAGTTTATCTTGTCAACGGTAGTTTGCTAGCCAGGCCCGTAGGCTCGAGGCCGTTCGACCTTTCATAGTTTCATAGCTTCATAGCTTCATCAGCGATCAAACTTTCGCTCGGTCTCCGGGTATTATCTTTATTGTCCTTAGGCCCTCACAGTTCCAAGTTCCAACGCTCTTGTTCTGTTATATCATTGGCAGCAGCGGGAAAAGGTCTACGGGTCTTCTGCAAGTTAAACCTTGGACCCTGCGGATGGTGTTAATACTAACCATGTCGCTTCCATGGGTAAGGAGGTGGGGTACTCCGAACCAGCTAAATTGCAAAAAGTAAAAACGGACAAGGAAACAAATCCTTCCCATTGCTCACCGCGGTACAAGGATCCGATGTATCCTGAAGATCGCAAGGAAAAAGTTTAGGTGCATTATTCTTTGGCGTGCAAAGAAGATGTGCTCCGTAAAATGTAACGGTTCTAGCATTATCTGCAGCTATCTCTCTCAATGGTCGCCGATGACCGACTCTTCTTAACCTTTCCAAGTCTTGGATGCAGCAAAATTTCCGTACACTATACTAATTATGAAAATGGGCGGTCGATAACTGCAGTAAGCCAAGCTTCAAGGGGAATGGGTCGCTTTTCCATCCACTCTTCCCCTCTCCATCCACTTTCACCCCCCGCGAGGCGCGAGGCAGCGGTGATTTTCTACAGCAGACCAGTGCAGACCAGTGCAGTGCAGTGCAGCACAACACAATCAATCTTATTGTTGATTAATTACCAAGCTTGCAATCTTGTAGATGGTGGATACAAGCTGTACGTCGTAAATGCCATGCCATGCCCTTATCCTTCGTCCATTATTATTGCATTTGTGCATTGTTGATACAGATAAGTGTGCTACCTTTCAAAAGAGTAAGGAATGCAGAGTTGACACGAACAGCGCATGAGAAGTTCAAGGTTGATCGTAACTCTCCCAGAAAGAGGATACCCGTATCAAGTCTGGATTAATTGTCTCGGTATAACGGTTCAAAAGGGGGGAAGTGTGTGTGGTAGTGTGTTCGCTCGTGATGCGGAAATCCCGGATCAAGCAAGCTTCTGTTGGATCCGCTCTTGGTTTTAGTCCTGCATTGAGATAGGTCGAGTACGTACTGGATTCATTTCATTAATATGACCGAACGTACATGATAAGGCTGACTGGCTTGCTTCTGACAAAAATAGTCTTGAGTTAGGTTTAGGGCAAGCTTGTTTGGAAAAAGGTAGGTATCATGCATGATTCACGAATGACGATGTTACAGAGTGTGGATTTCTTTTTTGTTTCTTCGGTGGTATGATGTAGATTCTTCATTTATTCACAACGACCTATGTATCAGTCGTGCCATTTTTATCTCTCATTGTTACTTTCTGTCCCACGACTCACGAGGATTCTCCCAGAAACCAAAAGAAGAGAAACTCGGGAAATCCTTGACCTATGATCCACAGAATGGGTGAGGATTAGCCGGCCTATCAAAATCTGGAGCTCCGCAGAAAAGTAACATGACTGAAAAATGTACCATTATTCGCACGACCGTCCAGTTTATCCACAGAAATAACAGCGATTGCACGGACAATGATGAAGGGGGCAGATGTGCAGTGCAGTTTACTGCAGCATTTGGATATCTCGCACGCGCATTAGTGAGTTACCTCCGCGAGCTCAGATGCTGAAATTCATTACTCTTTTTGAGGTATCCTCGCTATTCTATTCCACTATCGACAAATCCCATGGGTTTTCGCAATAGATTTCCCTCCTGTAGGAATCCCGTGTGTTTTTTCTTTAGGTGGTGCTATGCTACGCTACACAATACTGCAGTACGCATAGCCCCCAACGTAACGTGCGATGATCTCATACTAGAAGTCACCACATACATAGCCGACGAGTCACGATAGAAGATTTGAATTTTGGCACGCTTCACGTATGTCTTGTCTTGTATCCACGCAGAATCCACGAGTTCGTTTCAGTGTGATATTTTTTTGACAAATGGATCTACATGATTCGATTCATGTCTGCGGCAACGCTTTCCGGCGCGTCGCACATATCTCGACTTTTTTCCCCATTCCTTTGTGAACTATCTAACCCTCGTATACACACGATAGTGAAAACTTTGGATCCGGTGTTTCACACTGGGTTTGCTTCACTTGAGCAAATACTTTGGGGACTCTAGACTTCTCAATCTATATTCCAGACCCCTCGTCTCCCCTCCCCCAATTTTTTTTCATCTGATCCGATTGATTCTGTGTTTACTTGTTTTGCTCTCCATGAACCATGTATGTGCCCGGCAAGCATCTCTTCCAACCAATCCCCCACTGATAATCTGATTGTCCTGCCGGCCGCCGCGCAAATCCCAAAAAATATGTATATACATCAAACAAAAAGCACCAAGTGGAGAAGTTTCGAAGCAGAGGCTCGCAAGGACATTGCTTGCCAGCGAAAGAAGCAAAGCGCGCGGTCTTCGATCTCTGACCGATCTCCCAGAGATTCAGATCCCCCTTCCCCCATCATTTGGTTTGACCAATTCCTTTCGTTTACATCGTACCGCACGTAGATAAGAAAAGAAATCCCCTATCCATCCAGTTTTCATTGACCGCTAAGGGGGCGGAACCAAAGAAAAGCGACTGCCTACGTCCGTACGCATGCTTAAGCGCCCGTCTGCCTATTCCCCCATAAATGCATGTTTATATCTGCAAATATATCTCATAAGCCTCACCGTTACCCTTCTCTCATGTGTAGAATCAGATACTCGAGCTCCTCCCGCAGACAGTTACCTTATGCAAGGTACTGTGTACACTGCATCGTCCCATCTATCGGGAACTTCCCTGCACTCAGATCACTGCCGATTCTCCACAAATGTAATATCTGAGGGCGTTTCGTCATTCACTCAAAGTGTTACACGTATACATGGTGGGAGGGAAAACGCGTTGCAAAATTCCTTTTCATAAGGCGTCAGGTTCGTCTGATGAATGTGAAGAATCCAAGCGGATTCGAAGATGAGACGCAACTCGGTGAAGCGTTGACTTTGGGAGGGATGGGGTCGAGAATGAAAGGTGGGTATGTCGTTCTATTTTCATCTACTTGCAGCTGGGATGGATGATCAAACTGACTTTTGGCATGAGGTTCCGGGATCTTCTTTTGTAACCTAGATGCTGGTGAAAGTCTATATTTTCTTGGGTGTTCATCTTTCTCTCCTGTCTTTTTCATAATTTATGCTATGCTATGCTATGCGATGATGTGTGTGCATTGTGCATTGGATATGAATCTCATTTTTATGTCATTCATATCTTAAATTCTCCAAATGCATAACATCAATCTCGGACATCTAACAATTGAATTCCATCCCGTCGAAATCAATCATTTCTTCCAGAGTCTAGTAAGACCCCAAATCTCAATCCTTCGATTTGGCACAGAGAACCCAAAGACAATCCAGACTCGATCAAGTCGCGAGATCAGATCTTCATGTAAATTATCTCCGATTCGATTCTCCCAAGCATCCTATATCTCAGCCTGATATAAATGAACTCAATCTATACGAAAGTATATATGGATCATGATTCACCATGCCATCGGAAAATCGGAAATCCTCAGTTAGGTTAGAGGGGTACGAAGAAAATGTTCATCCACTCATGAGAGCGATAACCTGGCTGGACATCAATCGGAACTTTCATATTAATGAATTCGAGGAATGCTGGGAAGATTCTCATTTCATACCTTAC